AGCAGAGTCTTTGGGTAAAACTTGAGTGGAAATGTTTCAGAAAGATAACCCAAATAGACTCTGGTCCTAAAACAACAGGGCTACTGCCATAAGCTGAAAAACATTTGCTTCTATCTTTATATGTTACAGGCATATTGAGGATAAGCAGGTTTTATCTCTTGTGTATTGCTTGTCATGTTCAATTCAATGGATTACCATTCTTAGATGCTAACATAATACAATTTTGCTAAAGCCTCTCCCAGTTAATGTAGTATTAAAGTGGGACATATTGCCTTAACTTCAGAGTTATTAGAATTGTCAATGAATAAATGGTGATATAACAATCCACCAGATAGTTTTTTAAAAATATAATAGTGTAAGAAAACTGGATAGACCCAATTTGTTGAAAGAAACATGTATTACAAGCTTGTCATTTTATTCACAATTTTCAAACATGAGCCAATATTTAGTAGAAATATAAGATAAGTTTCTCAGATTTACAAGAGAAAATCTGAAGTACCCCTGACCTATATTATATTAATTTATTAATAGATTACGCTGGGAATGTTCATGGTTGCTCTGCAGTCTTTCATTAGCTGATGATTTTTTGCAATTAACAATGTATTAGGTTCAGAAATGTCCTGAAAATATAAGCAAAACTTGTAATCATCCCCACTTAATGTTTTTCTCTCTTGTTGTCTGTTTTATTCTGAAATGCATTAAATCCGAAGAATCGTGATTGATCTGGAAATAAGTAGGTGTAATCTGAATATGTTCACCTATAAAATGGTATAAGTGAAAAAGATGATCCTGGGAATAACAACTTGAATCGGCTTGCCTACAAACTGTAATATAGTTTCAATGTTATGTCAGGCATGTGGTTCTTGGTATTTCGAAAATTAATATTTCAAATACATTTTTAATTTGTACCTATTTCTTGATCATGTATTTATGTATTTATGTATTTATTGTTGCTGTTGTTGTTCATTGTCTTGAAATTGTCTAAAATCAAACCATGGGTTCACATTATGTTTTGAAATCAGGCCACATACTCTTGTCTATTCAGCGTTGACACATTGCACAGTTATAAAAAAAATTATTATTGAATTGAATATAATACATATCAATAGAAAGTACATTTTGAAATATGCTGTCTACCCACCCACATTGAAAATGTCACAATGGGGCTGTTTTTTAAACATTAAAAAGAATGGAGATAATAGTTAGCTATATGTTTAAAATAATGAATAAATATGGAAGGAGCCTTTGAAATTATCAGTACATGCAGGAGAAATAGGCAATATGTAGAGACTTTTTAGAGAAATTGTTGTAAATTGGTCTGGCCAGATTGTGAGTTTGGAGGCTTGGGTAATTACTTAGTTGACAGGTGTTGAATGGCTCTATCTAGGGTATGCAACCACAGTTATTTCACAATTCTAGAAAACACCTAGACCAGATTAGATATATATAGTCCAGATATAATTCTAAGTCTATAAAACAGCATAAGATATTGACTCAATACTTTCAAATAATATGGGTTCTGATATAGTATTATGCAAAATATTTTCACATTTTGAGATCTGTTAGTTGTTCTATAGACAAAACATTTGGTTCTGTTCTTTTTGAAACAGGATCAGAAAGTTTTTTAGTTTGCATGTAACAGCAATGTCTGAACCTAAATAAACCTGAAAACTACACCATCGTTATAATTGTGATTGGTGTAAAATACCCAGCAGTTTGCCTGGAGGTTGGATCAGCAAAATCAGGGTGTTAATGTAAAACACATAGCCGAGTATCATTAAACATCAGACCATGATTTATATCACAGTCTCATAAAAACAACAAGTGCAAATCTTGCAGATTTCCTCCTGATTTTAACGAAATCTAAATAATTCATAAACATTTTGTTCAGTCCTTCTTTGTCTGGTGATCAATAGCTTACATGACAATTTGACAGATCATTTCCACAGCATGAAAATTCACAAGAATGAACAACATTTTCCCAAGACAGGTGAAAGGAATCTGCAAATCCGTTGATTTCCTGGTACAAGTGCAACAACAAGCTAGACCTTTGCCAACCTTGAAATCTATTCCATATGCAAGTGACGCCTTGATATGCAATCAGAACATGGCACAGCAAGATCTCTTGGGAAAATTGAAATTTTTATCTATGTGAGAAACATGCTCTTTTATTTCACTTCCCATGTTCTCCATACTGATCTACCAGTGTATTTCTGTCAAGCGTATGTAATATCTTGATGAATCAAGATGATATTCCCAGCAATTTAAGCACATTGTCTTCCTGTTCATAATCTCCTTACGGGTTCACAATCATGCAGCCAGATCATTTAGGGTGCAGCACTAAGGTACAACAATAGGGTTAAATTACTAGAAATTTTGTAGATACTCTTCAGATATTTCAGATTTATTGCTGAGAAGAATTTCAATGTCATGGTTTATCAAGATGGGAGCTAGAGTTTTAAACTGTTATAGCGAAGGTTTTTTCATGCCTTTCAAGTGTTACCCCTTGTGCTTTCTGCCAGTTGAAGACAGTTTGCAGAGTGGAAAAAATGGTCAAAATTCCAATAATTTGGGTATTTCCTAGTCATGACACTCAGTTAAGAATCTTGCAAGTATGTGAGATATTTCATTCACCTGTCAAGGAGAGATAGTGACATTACTATGATCAGGATGGCATACTAGTATTATGCAGGGTTAAATCTATTGTCAAGATTATGGATTATCAGCTGTTGTTTTATACTGACGAGTGTCAGACAGGTACATGATATAGTTATGTCTCATATGCCTAATGGATGAGTACTATTTTTAACACGCCATTATATTAGCACTGAATAACATCACACTATCCCCATTCCAATAAAATACTAATTTCATTAGGATGATTTTTATCTCATAGGCTTAGATAGTAATATTGTCAGGCAGTAGACTATATGGCTTAATAGATGGCATGTGTGATGTGAAGCAAATATTTATTCCAATATTAATTCCTTTATGTAATAATAGATAGCGTGCTAGTTTGGATTTGGATTTCATACTTTTAGCTGCATTACATTAGGATAGATGGCACATCAGCATATTCATGAATTGTGTTTGCCTTTAGCCAAGATTGGTACAATTTATATGCAAAAGTTGATTGAATTATTGTATGTATTGATTAGGCTACCCTGTGATTCAAGTGCTACAGAATTGTGTTATGTGTTTATTACATCGCTGGAAGTGCATTTCAATCTATTTGTTTACACAGTGAAGAATGAGTGGAAATTCAAGTCTGAAATAAAGTGAGTGATGAAAAATGTTGGCAGGCCTGTTTCATGTCAAAAATGCTATATATTGTGACACAACTTAGCCAGATTAGGAAAAATCTAGTCCCCTTATTTTTCTTTTTTTCTGTGTAGGAGGGAAGTTAACTTTCAATATATGAAATTGCTCATATAATATAATATGAGAAAGTAAATTAGAGTTGAGTATTTAAAATTGAATTTTTGGAACTTGAAGGCCATTGCATTTTAATGCAATTTGGGTACATTTACTTTTAGGGAAAAATCTTCTACGGTTCTTACATAACAGTATAATAAATTGTTTTTAGAGACTCCATACTCATTTCAACATATTTGTCAATTTGAATTATTATCCATTTGATTAACAGGTTATTCATTTACATGAAACCAGAGCTCTGCATTTTACCACTTGTGCGTTACATCATTATCGCCAATCTGCCTGACACTAACCATTTAATGAAATTATCATTATCTGTGAATTATCTAATATTGGTAGCGTCTAGTGACATCATTGTTTAACTGATATCTTTGATTATCTTCCAGTTATGATATGGCAACTACATTATTAAATGATTGTCATGGTTTGTTACATTTAATTATAGTATAAATGATACAATCTTGTAATGGGGAGTTTATTTAAAGAATTGCAATTACAGCTGAAGAATTGATGATGTTGTCTTTGAATTTCTCCACAGGTACTCTAAGAGTTGGTGGTTCTTGATTATTGGTAGTATCAGTCTTGTTTATTGACCAATAGAGGCCAATATAGGGAGTTGTAAAGCTGCCAATAAGCAGATATAACACATGCAAGTAGATTGGTAACAATCCACTTAGATATGAGTGCCTTACAAACTGTAACCATATAGAATTTATCACATTTTGGAAGAAAACACAGGGGTACTAAAGTAGCCGAAATGATGAGACAGAATTTGGATTAATATATCATTGACTTGGATTGCAGATATGTTTTGAATACTAACATGTCACATTAGACCAGCTGTAGACACAAGGACACCAGGGGTTGCAGAGTGTTGATTTTTGTTTTATTTAGGAGGATTTTAGCAGTTGGTGCAGAGGAATACAAACACATGGTGCTTCGTGTTGATGGACATTGTTTTCAACAAGCGCTTTTCAGGAATAGTATACCCCCTAATGCCTGGATCTATGACTTGAGGATTATTCTTTCTTATGATTTTCAATGTGTAGCGACTGTATTCCTGAGGAACAGTAACCTAAGCTGTCATTTTACTACAGAGTGCAAGGAACTACAGGGTGTATACTGAAAGGATCATTATTCATAAGAATTCTTTTAACTTTCTAAAGGAATTACAGCATTGTTAATGAGTGACAAATCTTGGAATTTTCAACTGGTTTTGGTATTACCTCCAACCCAAATTTGGATTTACCCAGAGTCTAATGCCGCTAACGAACATTGAAGGATTTACCAGAAGCTTATTCTTTCTTAGGATTTACAATATATGTATGTGATCATACTTTCTTAGGATCTGAGTAGAGGATTACCCTGTGATTAGGGCGTGTGTATGGTATATGCTGCTGTGATCGAACTCTGGTATTCTTTCTCATGATCCCTACCCCAGATTGGATTACCTCATGGTATATGGTGCTGTAACATTGTAGGATCATCTATATGCAGTTATTCTCTTGCTCACTATTGTTGTTTTTGTGTTCAGGTAAGGGTGTATGTATGCAGAGGTTATGACACTGTGGCTGCAGGCGTGGCTTGCCCTCGTCTTACTGGTGCTCGTTGTCACATCAGATGGTAAGTACAAATACTTTTTTATTATGACATTTTACGTAACACCAGATTTCATTCGGATGTATCTAGATTTAAATTGACCCACTCCTCACCTTTGCCCTACTAAAGCAAGCCTCAACCAATAGCTGAAATTAAAAAAAAACAATTGGCTGTTTGGTAATTACTAAAATAGGAGTTAAGTACAGCGATAGTGCTTTTGTCCGATATCTTTAGGCTATTGTTAATAATGAATGAAGATTAAATGGGTGAATGTTTTTAGTCTTTTGGGAAAATTCAGCTTTGCTTATTGAAATATTAGTATCTAGTATGTTTTATTTTATGGGATTTTATTCTTCTTAAATCTTGCATCAAGTGTCTATTTTTCTTTCACCTATTTCTCCAGCTTTTGTCCATCTTGGATTTCCAAGATGTTGTCATAAATGAAAAATAAGTGAGTTTTGTCATCCTCTTAACAGAGGGGCTCAGACATCATCCACCAGTTAATTGAAGGAAGAAATGTGTATGATATATGGAGCCCTGCATTCGGAGAATGGGGTTTTGTATGCAAGATGTAGAAACATGCAATAAGGGTTAGGGGAGAGGTCACTTATACACAAAGTTGATTCTAAAGGACCCTTTACTTGTTAACATACATTCTTTATGATCTATATATTACCATATAATCAGTAAACTGGGATAGATTTTGCCAGTCCCTTGACTCAATGAATCAATGATTGAACCCTGGGGACAATGAGACAACACTGAGCAGACAATATTACACTTGCATAAACCAAGCCTCTCTACTCCTTTTTGGGGAATTTGATTACCTGAAACACTGATTGTGTATTCGGGAGGAAGGAATCAGCCAGTCATGGGAGTTGTATGCAAATAGCATGCATGCTCGGGTGCATTTTGATGACAATTTTAGAATGTGTAGCAACTACTGAATGAAGGTTGCGAGGCTTTGGGTAATTTTCTGTGAAGTAATGATTAAAAAACAACAATTGGTGATTTATTTCACAGCGTGCAAAGTTAACTCAACTTACTTTTTATCATTGGAACTTTTGTCCAGGTGCAAAACACTTTCCCCGATTTAATATAAATATTTCATTAATTTTGATTTTATAAAAGAAACTTGTTTTTCGTGAAATTAATAAGAGGTGTTTTGAATAAATAGTCCTTTGGGGTAGAATGATGGATCTTGTAGGAGAAATTACCTTTGAGTAAAATATTAAATTGTGGTCATATTTCAAAAATGGAAATTAAGAGCAATGGAAAGAGTGAAACAGTGATAAAGATATACCAGAAATATAGACTTACCATTGAGAAATTCTAGTCACGATCTTAAAGGAGTAATATTGTATTAATTGCCATTGCAAATGTTATTCAGTTAAAGGGAGCATAAAGTTGTATTAAAATAGTGACAAACTACAAAACATGATTTGTTATATGCTACATTTTTTACAGTCTGTTGTCCTTTAATTTTCCTTCAAACAGTAGTATTTCCTTTTGTAGTATTTGTTGAATTAAACTAAACGAGGCTGGTTTTATTGTAATTTCTGACATAATTGCTTTGGCAACTCTTGGAAAATACAGTCGCCATCAAGATTCCTGTACCATTCTCAAGTTGCCCCTAATGTCCTTAATTCAATATAAAATACATTAGGCAAGTCACTATTACAACATCTCTGATGTTCTTGATTACAGTGTAATAACAATTATCTAAGAACATTCTCTGAAACTTCATTGACATTATTTCATTGAGAAGAAACACATTGCATGAATTATATTATCCTCTTTTCTTCAATATATGTTAATTATAACATAATAAATGTTCATTTTAAGAGAACTTTAATATTGCAATAAAAAAATTTATATGGATATAAAAATTGATTTGGAAATACTGAATAAGTATAACATCTTTGATGAGTGACTTTATTTTCATTTCAGTTAAATAAATGAAGATGGCATATTTTATTTACACTTGTATAATTACACGAATATCATGTATAGGAAACATCTATATGCAAGTGAGTGATGGATCTAGGTTATCTATCTACCATGGTTCAAAGAACATATATTATTAGAACCAATGGGGTGAAAATATGAATTATGATAAAAATGAAATATATGACATTCCTTGGGGTCATATAATCAATAACTGATTGGTGTAACTAAAATGGCATCTGCTCTGTAATTTAATTTGACTTGTAATAGCCATCGGTCAGTTAAATGCATAAAATATTCATTGGTAGAATAATATTTATCTTAAGTATTAATTTGAAACCATTATGATACCATTAAGAAAACCAACAAATGACTCACAGACTGACTACTATATCTATACTGTAGTATTGGTAGATTGTTGATATCATGTGTTCATAAAACAAAATAAATATTTAGAACAAATAAATAATCATTTGATGAAGTACCTATCATGTACATGTGCTAATATGAACCAAAAAATGATGTTGATGAAGCTTTTTTCTTCATTGATATTGCCTTGCGGGGAAATGTATTATTTTCCATAATTTTATTATTACTACAACAGTATATCAGATCATAGGAAGTCTCTTAATATCAAGTGTAAATATTAGGTATGATTTTAGAAATTCTCCCGTGTATCTTCTCATTTTCACTACAGATCTCATAGGCCATGATTGAGTAGAAATATATTTAAATGTTTTCCCAGATGGAAATTGATATTCCAGTTTGTATATCACAAGCACCAGGAGTAAGAAAATATAGCATATTCTGATATTTCTTCAAAATATAATCACTCAAGCGCAAATCAAATTATTGCTACATCATATGTGTCTTTCATGATTGGTGTTTCGCAGATGAAAGTGTTGGAGAAATATGTTATGAATAAAAATAAATAGCCATATTCTTGACTTGATTCTCCTGGTCTTTGATCATGACTGGTTCAATAACATACTTGCACTCGACCCTGGCTAGAAAAATAGTCATATTACCTCAACTCATGAATGCTCAAAATCACAACAGAAGTGTAATAAACTCTGAATGTTTGAACAAACAATTTGATCATTGTGATCGTAAATCTAAAACGCAGCTGAGAAAGTGTTGATCTAATTGACTTTTTGCTCTTGTTATTACTATCCATTGATTCTTGTGAAGAAAGGTTTGATACTTATGCAATGCATTACATCTTATTAATTAAACAACATGGCAGGCTTTTTGATGTCACCACAACTACAGGGAAGTGGTGACGTGCTGTAATAGCCATCCTTTTTGGTCACCTATGGTATCCTTCATTCAAAGGACTTCATTTATTACTCAATTCAAAGAATGGAAAGAAGTGAAATACACTTAGACGAAGGATTACCTATGGTATTCTGTGCCAGCTTCTAACAAAATGTTACACTTTTGTAGTAGGAACCAAGAAGGAACATTTTGTCACGCCAATGCCTCATTATATCGTAAAAGATAGAGGAATGGAATACAAAATCTTCGGGTATATAAATGCTTATAGAAACCTGAAGGTGGAAGGTCAGCGCGTAGGTCAAAAGTGTTTTACCCAAACTGTCACCGGTACCCGTCGAGGGGGTGGGGCTATTAAACTGTAATATGGTCTCTACTAGGCAGAGTGTAGTTTAACTAGACTCTGCATGCAGGGTAAAGAAAATTGTAACATTTCATTTAAAAATTGAAAATATGAAGAAACTTTAAGGTATGAAACCTAGGGAGTGTGACTGAGCCTAACTGCTTCAATTCTAGCTCTGTGAGCCTTTTCTGTGTGTTTAACTTTACTATCTCTATTGATCATATTGATTAGTCCTCCTACATTGATTGCTTCTTTGGCAGGTACATTCCCTTCGCAATGTTTTACATTGTCAGAAGTAGTGATCATGCCTATTTTTCTCTCTCCCAAGGAAATATCAAAATAGATGACGTATCATCCATTTAAATGCATTGATCATTCTTTGTTCTTTAGAAATGAATTGATCTCTGCTATCTGTTAATGAATCTAACAATACTGAGGGCACTATGACATTTGTATAATACCTTGTGCCAGAAGAAAGCTAATGTACCATTCTGGGGACTGGCAATATCTTCATATTCTGTGGAAAGATTGGCCCTATGGTATATAATTAGTAGACACAAGTCTCTGTTTTCTTATATGTTTTCATGAGCTTTTTGCATAAAATACTTTGAAAGTTACAATCTTTCAAACTCAAAACTGGTTTTGAAAAATGACCCATTTTATGTAAAAATGAATATCTACAAAAATGAATAATTAGAACAGCATTATTTTGTGGCAGTTTTAGCATTAATGCTAAAATGATAGCAAGTGATATTTCTTGTTAATGTAAAACTGGTAGACACTTCTAACATTGTTGACTTTTATTATCTCCCAAGAGTAAGATTGGTTTGCTTTAATAAATTGCCCTTGTTTGGGATTGTGTTTCTTGTAGACCTGATTAGCTGAAATGAAATTCTATAAGATCGAATTGATCAACATCAGTCATGGGAGATGTCACCAACTCTTAATAGTTGACTGTTGTGGTCAGTTGGGAAATCAGTAATATTGGTTTGTCAGAATTGGTCAAATCATGTTTCATTTCTATGAACCCATTTGATAACATCGTTTAATACAGTAACACATATCAAATCTTTTTGATTTTGTGAATATTATGTTGGTCGTTTGTAGCTTTTACAAAATAAGATTGCAGACGTGTACTGGTGATATATTAATTATTTAAATATCTTGATCTTGACTCTAAATTCAATTATCTCTTGTTCATGTCTTTTGCTCATTAATTGAATAAATGTGACAACTTGAGCAGAAAAATCAATGCCTCTATATTGAGATTAATAGATATCTACATATGACTGCAAGCTATATTTGTTTTTAGTCTCGTCTCCATTTCATGTGATCCTCCTACATATCTCACCTCTATAAGAGATGCAGCGGATAAGAGATATGGATCCAAGGATTTGATGCAGGACAGTCAACACCCTTGGTCTAACATCCTCCGATCACAAGGCTTCAAAATCTAGAA